CATCCAACGATCGTACAGGATGCACAGTAGCTCATTCAAATCATTGCATTGAGACGATTCGAATGAGCTATTGTGCATCTCAGTACGATCACTAGATGCCGAGATATTTGGCAAAACGTAAAATTTTGCATAATTATAAAATAAAAATGCTGATGTTTCACATTTTGCCAATTATCTCGACATCCAGTGATCGTACAGAGATGTATTATAGCTTATTCAAATCGTCTCATTGTAACGATTTGAATGAGTTATAGTGCATCTTTATACGATCGTTAAGTACTGAGCTACCCAAAAATAGTTAATTTAGATTATCCAGATTTAATCCTATGATAATCCGGATTGATCCAGGAAGATCACAGATTGTAAAATTTCATCTGGATCGCATTTCTAGTTGGATAACCTTTTTTAATACCATCTGAAATGATTTGCATTTCTCCTATATGAGCATGACAAAATTCAAATTGCTCTACGGCTTTTAAACTTTTTCCTTGAAAATTCATAAACAAATCCTTTAACTTATTAGGCAAAGGAGATGGTAACTTTCATCACAATAAGGACATATTTCAGGTATCTTTATAATAAAATTTTGAGTTTTGTTAAATAAATTATAACACCAACTGATTTTTATAAATAATCAAAAGAAAGTGGAATTATAATTATTTACTGTAATAGAGTTAATATTTTCATCATTGCTACTTGAGTTTCCTTTATTAACAATCTGAAATAGATAAAAAAATTATCATAATGAATTTCTTACTATAATATTTTTTTTGTTTTTATTAGAATCTTTCTCCTATGTATTATTAACAAGAAATTATTTTTTTATAGTTTTGAAAATAAAGAATAGAGTTCTGAATGGATCAGGTCAGGTCAGGTTAATTGATAAACCTGACCTGAAATTTTTTTTTAGGTCAGGTCAGGTCAGGTTATATCAGGTTGTCTGTTTGACCTGACCTGACCTGAAACCTGAAAAATTTCAGGACTATTTTTATTAAAGTATTGAAAACTGTCTCTTATACACATCTAGATGTGTATAAGAGACAGTATATAAACTTCATATCTATATAAACCACTCTTAGTTAGAATCAATAGCTTTTTTTCTGATTTTTCTTCTTTGAAAAAATGAAGTTCAAGACCTTCACTAATTTTTCGTATTGCAGTTCCAGAAAACTCTCCTCCCGGTTTAACTTTTTCTTGAATTGATGAAAGAATATCTGTGATGTTTATTAACAATGATGTTTTCCAATATAATGAATTTGATGTAGATAAAATAGATGCAATTGACGGACTTGTAGGATTTGCTTCCAAAAAAATGGTTGCTGTAGCAGACTTACGTCCTTTAAAATATCCTCGGTTTCCCAAATAATCTATCCATTTGGAAAATGTGTCAAATTTGCGATTATCTTTGACGCTATATACATATGCTTTCTTATCCTTTACTTCATACATAAGCACACCTTCAAAATATTTATCTAATGTTGGAAAAAAATATACCATTTTTCCTTTAAGGTTAGGCTTAGTACGTACAAGTTCTTGTAATGCTTCTGCTTTTTTTTGCTGCTTTGGTATTGGCAAATCAATACTATTCTCGTTTATATTAATTGCGCGTTTTTTTTGAAACTTTTTAATAAAAAATGTTAATATTATTTAAAAAATATAAAAGTTGTGCTTTTCTAACCTTTAATGCCTACCATTTTCAAGTTGTAGCGAAATTTTCTATGTATTTTAGATGTATTAAACCGCCGATCAAGTTTTTTAAAGTAAATAAACACGAAACTTTGACAAAAAATTATATTTTCAGATAGTTTCGCGTTTCTTTATTACCGATCAATTATTTTTTTT